GGACATGACTTTGATCCGAAACCCTGGAACACCCTCGAATTCGACACGGTATGTACAGTATATTCACTGACGTGACAATGGCAAGTGTGGTACGAACTTATGTTTTAGGACATCTGACAATTTTGTAGAAGGATACGTTTTGATTGGCTCTACCCATTCTGAGTTTTGCTCGGAACAGTCTTTTAGGACTGTAGCTTCATGCTACTAGTAGAGCTTAGAGGCACTACTTGTAGGTAGTGTTGGATTGCACGGGCAGGGTAGAACACACGCGTAGGTAGAGCTCAGTTCGAGGTACTACCGGTAGAGCCAGGAATGAAAGCTAAGACTATATCATGCCAAACCTCTCACATCCTTGCCCAACAAAGTACACAACCACACAAAACATAAGCCATCATGACCTGGGGTAAGCTTGGTCATGATCTGGCTAATGATCTGACAATGAAATGCCTTGGTCAGTGTACTGCCTCAATATGCCTATGGTAACCTGCAGAGAACATGATACATCTGGCACTACCGGTAACATGTGGAAACCAGAAAAATCCACAAAATAAGGACAAAACACTCGAAAAAATGACACTTCGGGGCCTTTTTACAACTGATCGATTTCGACCATCAAACATCAGCAGATGTACTACTGTACTACTTACTAGTATTGTGCTTTTCACCCAATTTGCCCATTGTTTTATCGCACTAATCAATGGATGACAAAATTAATACCACACGTTAAACAACGCAAATCGAGAGTCTGGCACATGAGCTAAATAAAGACAGGTCGTCATTTACTAGACCATCTCACTCGCAAAATGGACTAGACCAACATGCAGCGCGATCGATTGAGCGTCGTGTTCCCATCGTGTTGAATCTTGTTACGCTACGTCGTGAGAGTCCAAGTATGAGGCGAACGACGTCAACTTCAATGTCATAAACTTGGACAAGCACAACACATCTCCAATGCATGTCGATGCTGATCATTGCAAAACAAGTTGAATAAGATAAAACCGTTCACCTCCACCAATTCTTCGCCAATCATAGCATCACGATTAGTTTTAATTCAACGCGAACTGTAAAAATACTTCTTCATGCATCCGTAAAATCACGGCGAGTGCCGTGATTTTATGATAAGTTTTTATTAAAGCATGGTTTTAGACCTGGATTAGCCAAAAAAGGTGAAAAGCACAATACGTATTGTGCTTTTCACTCGTTTTGGCTACAGTATTCACACCATAATCCTGGGTGTTTGTTACATCAACCCCCAGTGTTTTAGATAATCCGTACCGTGATTTAGGATCACGTTTCGTTGTAGAATGTAATTATAGGGAGGTCATTTATGCAACTCCCTCGCTTTTGCACATTTGAAAAGTGCAAATCGAAGTTATATCTGCTATTCTCGGGACCAAATTGCACAATTTACTGGTCATCATGAACAACTTTTGATATTACAAATGACACA